TTCATCTGAGCATTTGCTCACGATGTAGGTAGTCTCGCTAACCTGTTCCACTACCTTAAAGGGTCCCTGCCAGGCTGCTTGAAGCTTGTCCTTTTTAACGGGCCTCAGAGCCAGTACCTTCTGCCCTAAGTCCAGCACTCTATCCTGGGCCCTCCTATCGTACCACTTTTTCTGGTCCTCCTGGGCCGCCTGCAGGTTCTCCCGAACCGATTCGGTGAGGGCCCGCAGACGGTCCCGGAACTCCAGGACATACTGGACGATAGGGACTCCCCCCTCATCTGTATTGCCCTCCCAGTGTTCCCGTACGAGCTCCAGTGGGCCCCGAACTTTTCTCCCGTACAGGAGTTCGAAGGGGGAAAACCCAGTGGAGGCCTGGGGCACCTCACGGTAGGCAAACAGAAGGTGGGGGAGGAATTTTTCCCAATTCTTGTGGGACTCTGTAAAAGTTTTTAGCATCTGTTTTAGAGTGCCATTGAAACGTTCACAGAGCCCGTTAGTCTGGGGATGATACGGGGCGCTGAACAGGGGCTGCACTCCACAGCTCTGCCACAGTTGTTGCGTCAGGGTGGCTGTGAACTGCGTCCCCCGATCGGAGAGTATCTCCTGCGGGAAACCTACTCGGGTGAATATCTGAATAAGGGCCTCTGCCACGGTCTCGGCCTCTATATTGGTGAGGGCGACTGCCTCCGGGTATCTAGTGGCGTAGTCAACCACCGTTAGGATAAACTTTTTGCCTGACGGACTGGGGCGACTGAGGGGACCTATTAAATCCACCGCTACTCGGTGGAAGGGCTGTTCGATGATGGGTAGGGGTTGAAGCTTAGCCTTCCGAAGGTCTCCCCTTTTTCCTACCCTTTGGCATACATCACATGTCCTACAATAGTACTTTAGGTCCTGGGTAGCTCTGGGCCAGAAGAAGGTTTGAGTTAACCTGTCTCTGGTCTTTTTGACCCTTAAATGTCCTGCTAGGGGAATGTCATGACTGAGTTTTAACAACTCAGCCCGAAATTTACAGGGCACAACTAACTGTCTTTTTATGACCTGGGTAGCCCCCTGTCCCACCCCCTCGGTTACCCTATATAGCAACCCCTTATACCACTCAAATTTTTCGTGCGGGTTGTTCTCGGGGGTAGCGGCCGCGGCCTTCCTATAGCCTTCTAATGTGGGGTCAGTACGCTGTTCCTGTTCAAACCCCTGGGGGGTATCCCAGAAGGGTACGGGGGGATCGGGTAAAGGGGGTATTTCGACTCTTACCTGGTTTTCCTCAGAGTGCAGCGGAGCTTCCAGTCTGGCTTGAGCTCGGGTGGTAACCGGGTAGGCCTCGGCAGGGGGGTCTCGGGCTAGTTGGGAGGTTAGGCATCCCACATCATTTCCCAACAAAACCTCGGCGGGCAGTTCTTGCATAATCCCCACCTCCAGTTGTTTAGACCCGGAACCCCAATCAACAAACATATTAGCGGTGGGCAGTTTGTGAATAGCGCCCCCAGCCACCCTTACAGCGACTGTGCGTCCGGTGCGAGCTTGTGCTCTGACCGTGTGGGGCTGTACCACAGTCAAAGTAGCCCCAGAGTCTCTCAGCGCCCGGGCCCCCACGCCATCGACGGTAATCCATTGGCGGTGATGGTCCCGGTTGTCCCCCCCAGCTTGTACTGGATTGACCTCATGTAATACACTCCACTGTTCTTCGTGGTTAAGGCCAGGGCCTGTGTGATCCTGTTGCACACAGTGCGCAGCTGCCCTGGGTTGTTGTGGGGCGGGCCGTTCCCAGCTTCCCCGGTTTAAGCGAGGGCACTGATACTTGTAATGTCCTGGTTGCTTGCAGTAGTGACACACTGCAGGAGGTCAAGGTGTGTTTGCTGGGTTCGGTGGGGGGTTACCTATGGCAGGTCTAGGTGGAGCCGGGTTGGTTGGAGCTGTGTACTGAGGCTTAAATGGTGGTCTGCTCGCCCCTTGCTCTTTCCTCCTGTTATCCTGGTACTCGTCCGCTAGCCTAGCGGCCTCCTCCACGATTTTTGGTTTCCTATCTTTTACCCAGTCTTTTATGTCCTCTGCAGTATGATTAAAAAATTGCTCCAGTATCACTAGTTGTAAAGCCTCTTCTAGGGTGGTTGCCTGGCAGCCCTTCATCCAATTGCGGGCTGCCCGCTGCAGGCGAAAAGCCCATTCCGTATGGG